TGCTTCTTGAAGGGCTCTGGTTCCCCTCCAACAACAGCATAGAACTCAAGGTCTCTTCTCAATCCATCCGGTAGATCAACCTCATTCGTGAAGTATCTGTGAAGCTGGRCGTCGCCAGGATTACTCCCCTGTGGGGCTGTTGCCTCTCTTAMAATTTCTTCGAATCKTTTATGTACRGACGCAACAGTCTTTGAGTATTTATCTGTAGTGGATGTTGCTTCCTTTACAGTCTTTCCTTTTTCACCAAATGTATTTGCATGGTTTGGATTGTCGTAAATCTTTTTCGCGTATGCTCTTGCTGCTTTAGTCTTGTTCCTTCTTGCAGTGTCTTCTTCTTGTCGTCGTAGATACGGATTGAAAATCTGTCGGTCTTGAGGTGGTGGTGGTGGTTGCTGTTCTTGTTGTTGCTCTTGCTGCTGTTCTTGTTGCTGTGCTGCTGGTGGAGGAGGAATATCCCCTGGCTCAATCGATACTCGTGGTGGGGGTGCTGCTGCTTCCTGCTCTTCATGATCAGGTGCAAGCAAAATTCTTGACGATCGCATTTGTTCTTCAATGAAGCTTCGACGCGCAAACGATATCATTGTGTTTGCCCCATCCTGTGTCAATTCTCCCCTTGCTGGTGCTGGTGGAGACCACAGATCATGATTACTATTACTAGTATTGGTGGTGGTGGCGTCATCGATAATGACGCCATCTTCCTTGTGATTACTGCTGCTCCTGGTGCTTCTCTGAGACAGTCCTAACTCAGGGGGTGGCTCATCGAATATCGCGTTTGAGTCAAAAGGACTGTTTCGATCTCTTCGATGGGTCATGATTACTGCTGGTGTTGATTACTGATTACTGATTACGACTGCAGCTGTTGCTGTTCTTATTGCTTCAATGAGCACTGCTTTATTTAGTGTACTGTTTGCTATTTTTATCTTTGCGTACTGAAAATATCAATTTAAAATATCAATCGATTTGATTACTGCTTCTCTATTGATCCATGCAAACTTGATGCCGACAGCTGCCAGTAGGATTTGTACAGCTGCTCTCCTGATTACCAAGTTGATTACTAATTTTGTCGAGTAATCAGTCATCCGGTCGAGCTGCAATTAATAATGAAGAAAAATAACACGCATTTGTTAGCAACTAATTACTCGATTTTTTGGTAATGCGCGGTAAAACTGAGTAACTAGTCTATTACGAAGTAGTAATGTTGGATGACCCAATACAGTAGAGTAAATGACAAGGGAACGTACCGTACGGTGAGTACGAGTACCCTACTCGTACTATTACTTCGCACGGCTTCTGGAGCTCTTTCGACAAAAATACTACGGTAATCCAATTTTTGCTCGGTCGAGCACGTGTCGGAGACCCTAAGTAATCAAAAAAATGAGGGTTTGAAATAGGCTCAACGGACGAAAACGTCAAGTGGTACTCCGGTACCACTCGATGGTACTCCGGTACCATTAGATGGTACCGTACGTACCGTACAGTATAAAATCTGTATGCAATATCGTATCATACAGTACAGTACAGTACTATGTACAGGTACAATTAGTATCAATTTTCCAGTACAAATTCCAGCACTCCTCCAGTACTCTATTTTTTGTTACTCCCAGAAGACACCAGTACTCACTACAGTA